CACAGGCCCCTGCTAGGATTATTATGCCTGAAGCATTCGCTCTTTCCCCCGTCTCTCTCTTCTTGGTTACTTTGGAGAGCGTGTGTTTCTTCATTTCATTTGGTTTCCAAAATCAAGTCTACCCTCCAAACACTTCCTGCCTAGGCCAGGCTCCAAGCTAAATACGATGTGTAGCAGCGCTGCTGGCAGGAAAGGCCTGTAGTCTCTTCTCTTGCTGTTTTTTTTGATCCGCGCGGATGCAGCGTGTAGAAGAAATAACATTCCAGATCCCCGGCACGAGGAGGGTTTCAGGCCAGAGGGTGCGGCACAGGCTCCGGAGAAAGGATGCTGCCAGCACCAGCACACATCCAAACCAGCTCTGAGCAGAGGAGATGCAGCGACACAGATGGACCAGCCTCATTAATGCTGGAACTGAGTGCAAACCAGCACACGGGAGAGTCATGTCATGTCAGGCAGACATTGGCTGCTGGGAGAGTCCCCAGGATTTCCCCCGCATGGCCTGCCTTTGCTGGTGTGATCTCACCCGCACCAGGAGGGGCCCCAGAACAGCAAGGGAGGAGGCTTCTAAGCACCCAGCACTGGTCTAACAGTCCCACTCCACTGGGGGCCCAGCGAGGCACTTTTGAAAACCCCACCCCTTGGCATCTTGAAACGCTACCCGGGGCCTGCACACTGCCACTCTGCTGAGCTGGCCTCATGGCTGGCCGACAGTCCAACGCAGAGACCAGTCCATGCAGCGTTTAAAAGAGAACAGGATAAATTCATGGTGGTTAAGTCCATTAATGGCTATTAGCCAGGATGGGTGAGGAATGGTGTCCCTAGCCTCTGTCTGTCAGAGGGTGGAGATGGATGGCAGGAGAGAGATCACTTGATCATTACCTGTTAGGTTCACTCCCTCTGGGGCACCTGGCACTGGCCACTGTCGGTAGACAGGATACTGGGCTAGATGGACCTTTGGTCTGACCCAGTACGGCCGTTCTTATGTTCTTATGCAAACCACAAACTCCACCCTTCTCTGCTGGTCCTGCCGAACGTGCCCAAAATGTCCTTAGTCTGGTCCCCTCATTACGCATCCCGCGCCTGCCCATTCCAGCTGGGATCCAGTGCCAGGGACGAGATGCTGCACAGGAAAGGCTGTTGTGGCAGCATTTCCAAAGAGAGCCAGAAATCCCAGAGGAAAAGCCTTTTCCCGGGAGATTTCTAGTGCAATATCCAGACCTAACAGCCTGAGCGAACGCTCAGAGATGCATTGATGTGCAGACCTTTCCCCAGCAATACACTTCAGCTGTTGCGCAGATTCCTGGGTGTCTAGCTGCAAGGACCCTCCAGATCAGTGTCCATCACTGTTTAGGACCAGAGGGTGATGGATAGTCTTGCGTTAGCTAAGGGGTGGGGGCCGAGGGAGGGGGTGGGTGTGGGACATGGAAAAGAGAGAGATTCAATTCTAGCGCAAGATGCACAATTCCCCAGCTGGCTCGGGGAGGATGCTATCGGCAGGAAGCTCACAGGGTTGGTACTTCCCTTGCAGGACAGGAGAGCCAGGGCAGGGACCGTACTATTGACTCAGTAGGGGAAGGTGAAATCACCCCGTTCACATGCACAGGGCTCAGGAGACAACAGCGCCGCAGTCGGCACGGGGCCCCGCCCTGGGAAACGCCTGCCTCGCTCCCACGGCCCAAACAGGGGCCGACTCGCTCTTCAGGGAGAACGTTCCACTTGCTTCCCGGCAATTGGGAGGGAGGCCTGGGACCAAAGTCCTGCGGCCTCTTCCACGGGACCCAGGGGTGACAGGCCTTGGGATTCTGCCATGGGGAGACGCCTCGGGAGCATCTCAGACCAGCTGTGGGGACGCTGGCGGTGACTCGCCCTTCTCTGGGTGTCAGGGAGGAAGGAGAGACACACGGGTCCAGTGCTAAGCCCTGAGGGCAGCTCCTGGTGGAAACCAGAGAAGGAAAAGCCCCGGTCAGGCTGTGGAGCCCGTTCCCCCAGCAATGCGGGTGATTCCTCGCAGCCTGGCTTCCCGTGTTTGGCTGGTCTAGTTTTAAACGCCCCCAGCGATGGAGCGTCTGTCACGGCCCTTGGGCAGGCTGTTTCCCAGCCTAGCAGGCAAGTGCTTTGCGGTGCTGGGATGGAACGTGCTCGCCCGGAGCGCTCAGATCCACAGCGAAGCTGCGTTACACATGAGGTTAGAGCTTCCTTTGGTTAATTACGCCCCCGCTCACTCCTCTCGGCGGGCACTGCTGCCGCCCCCACGTCCCCAGCAGCAGCCAGAGAGCTGCAAAGGAAAGCGTCCAGGCACCCTCTCTATTTAGGTGCTCATCGGACCGCCAGCGGGGTCTTATCCTCCCTACTGCTCTAACACTAGCTAGTGAAAATCAACACTTGGGCTTCTGACGGGAGGCCATTGCAGGGAGTAAGTGGCTCCCCACCCCCGTTTACAGCTCGGGAAAGGCTGACGCAGGGGGCGTGGCTTAGATCACCCGGTATGTCCATGCGGCTGGAGTGAGCTCGACTCCAGCTAGCACAGGTAGCAGCAAAGACAGAGCGGGCTAATGAGCCGAGTACGTACTCGGGGGCTGTGCCAGGTCAGAGCTACCCACTCGCAAACCTGAGCTGTGCGGCTTCCAATGCTCTTGGACCTGCGCCAGCTGGATTCCTGCTAGGATGAGACTCCAGGCCCCTGGATGCCCAGGCCCGGGGCCTCTAACCACTGGACACAATTTTCATGACATCCCTCTCCCCATCCCTAATGTTAGGGAATCATAGAGTTGGAAGAGACCTCAGGAGGTCATCTAGTCCAACTCCCTGCTCAAAGCAGGACCAATCCCCGGACAGATTTTTATCCCAGTTCCCTAAATGGCCCCCTCAAGGATTGAACTCACAACCCTGGGTTTAGCAGCCCAATGCTCAAACCACTGAGCTATCCCTCCCTCCCCATAAACTTTCAGATCGCAGAAGCAGCATTTACAGCTCGCGGAAGAAGGGTTACAACGTCATGAATCCTTTACAGACAAGAGATCCCAGAACATCCCTGAAAACATATAAGGATTGGAGACTCAAAGCTGTACAGAAGAGATAACAAGACTCCTTAGCCCAGAGATCAGATCCAGTGCACCGGGCGGCGGCAGGCCGGCGGAGGCCGGTCCGGTTCACCCACCGGGAGGCGGCAGGCCGGCGGGGGCCGGTCCGGTTCACCCACCGGGAGGCGGCAGGCCGGCGGGGGCCGGTCCGGTTCGCCCACCGGGCTGTGGGATATGGAACCAGATGGCCCAATTCAGTACCGCAGTTCTTACTGCTTCTCTGCTCCCTTCACCACTGTGCTTCTCTCACTCCCTTCCTGCTCACTAGACCCTGATCCCCAGCATCCTTCACTCTGGGCTTCTCTTTCCCCCGTCTCTCACCCCAGACCTCTCTCCCCGGGCCTCTTTCACTGCTTGATCTAACTGATCTTCCACTGCTTTGCCCCTTTGCTGCTGCATTTAGGAGGGATGCTGAAAACGGTGTCTCTGGCCTGAGCTTTCACTGGTTTCACGCCCTGCCAGGGCACAGCCCATCTGCAAACAAATCCCTGTCCCAGCGGGGCCCCCAGCACCACTGACCCCCCCCCCCCCCCCCCCCCCGAGAGCCCCCGGAGCCGGGCAGTCTCCGGCTGCTGAAACCCAAACAGTCTGGCCGACTCTCCCCCGCCGAGCTCCATGCAGAGTCCAAAGAGCTCAGCTTTCATCAGCGGGCAACTCGTTAGGACTGCTCCGCACCAGTCACTCAGCCGGCACAGGGGAACACTGGGTCAGAGCGGGACAGGGAACGGAGTCACTGGGACGCTCTCAGGGGCAGGCATTTCCATAGGCCAGCGGGGGAAGCCAGCCCTGCACAGGAGGAAGAAGGGGCGTGTGGTTACGGCACTGACTGGGGCTCCGGGGACCTCAGTTCAAGTCTCTGCTTTGCCACAGAGGAGTCCCTGCTCCCCCTCGGCAAGTCACTTAGCCTCCCTGTGCCTCAGTTTCCCCAGTGGTGCAATACCAGCACTGCCCTCCCCTGCTGGGAGGCGAACTTCACTGATACGAGCAGGGCCCGCAGACACTACAGCGCTGGGCGCACCACGGAGATCAAGGAGTTAATGGTTTCACAGCTTTTTTGAATTCCAAAACGGCAGGGGGAAGGAAATCAATCAAAGCAGATGACTTCTGAGAGACCCTACAATAACAAGCCACGGTGCTCAGCCCCGTCCCTGCGAGCAACCCTGTAAAAACAAACCAGTGTGGACGAACAACCCTGCAGCAACAACGGACAGCACACAGCCCAGCCCCCACAAACACCCTGAGAAGAACCGACAGGCCAGCCCTCTCACACACCCCGACACTACCAAAGCAACCCGCCGCTTAGGAACCGCTGCGTTCCGGCTGTGATTCACTGAGAAACCACGGCGAGCCAGCAGCGGCTCCCTAGCCCAACACATGCAAGTCGCCCACTGTCTACAGGGCGAGTGCGGCTTGCCTGAGAGCGGGCACACATCCGTGTGTCTGAGCGGGCTCCCGGGAGAAGGGGTGTCTAGGAACGCCCAGCCCCCCGGCAGCATGTCGTCGTTCACACCCAGTGCCAACGGAGCGTAACATGCCACCAAATCTGGCTCACACCGGCTCCCACTGTGTGAATGACTGCGCCGAGGACGGGGCAACCACACCTCCGGCACGCGTTTGCACCAGCGCTGCAGGGAGGGAACGCGCCAAGTGAGAGGCACGTTCCAGGCTGGCAGGGGAAGGAGGGAGGGAGCCGATGGGCAGATGAACCAGGGACCGGACAGTCGACAGCGTTGGTGGCTGAGCGGCGACACGAGGGCGTGACAATCCACGAGAGCATCACTGAGACGATTCCTTGCACGGCCAGGTGGTCCATGCAGACACCCCCACCCCGGACGCCCCTGGACACCTGCTGCACGCATCCAGGGCCACCCCTGCAGCTAGAGTCCTGCAGAGCTCCCGTGTCCCCAGGTGGATACTTACTGGTTCCTTTCCAGTGCCAGGATGAGCTCCCTGCCCTCAGCGGTCACGGCCACATCCCCCGTGGCGGGCGCTGGCACCTGTGGAAGGAGAGCAAGGGAGGAATCGGGTCACAAGGGAAAGCCAGAGAGACACCAAACCGCTGCACAGTTCTGCATCCACTGCCAGCTCCCCCCAGGCCAGGAGATCTGCAGGGTGGGGAATCTGGGAACGGGCCATGCCCATTTCCCCTGGTGCAACAAACCCTCCTGCAGCAGCCAATGAACGGATCAGCCCCGCACCTGGGGAGGCGGGACTAGAACCCTGCTCCACCCGCTGCAAAAATGCAGGCCCCGCCCGCCCGAACTAACAGAGATCTCCCCGAGGCGGAGCGCTGGCACCCGTAGTAGGTCCCGTAGCCTTTCGGGGTGTACCCTGAGAGAGGGATATGATCACATACGCTGCCCTCTAAAGTGGGTTCGTCCCAGAGCAGGGCCAGTCGTTGGGGTCCCTAGACAGTGGCATGGCCTCTCCCGGGAAGGGGCGGAGGCTCGGTTGCTGGGAGCGTTAAGAGCACTGGAGAAGGGATGGGGTCTCAGCCAAGGGGGTCACGACTGTCCCCCCACCCCCCGTTTTTATCTGTTGGCACATGGACTGACGGTGTGGAAAGAGCTGAGACTGAGCCGCTGCTCTGTAGGGCACCATCCTGTGTTCCCGGGGGTTGGGCTGGCTGACTTCACAGGGCTTCTCCCCACGCCTCTGAACCCCCAGGCTGGGCTGGCCCCGCTCTTGTGTTCGGCAGCACACGCTGTCCAACTGCCTGTATGCTCTGCTGGGTCCTCCCCACCCCTGGTCCAGCTTCCGGATGGGCAGCATGCCAGGGCCTCCAGAAAGCAGGGGAAAGGCGGCGATACCCTCCCCGTGCCTCCATCTCGGTGACACTGCTCCTCACCCCAGCCCAGACGCCCAACTCATCCTCACGCAGCTCTGCCTCCGTAACGCTGCCAGGATCTGGGCTCTGGTGCCCCTGAAATCCCTGCTTGGGTCCTCGCCGCTTCCCACCTGGACACCTGAAACCCCCAACCCGACGTCGCTCTCCAGCCCCTGCTCTCTCAGGCCAGGGAAGCCTGTTCTCAGGCCATCACTCGGCTCCCCCAGCCCAAATCCAGCTCAAACCCCTCTTATGGATTCGCTTCACCCACCGGACCTCTGACCTCACACCTGCCCCTCGCTCTGCACCTCCCGTCCCGGCTGCCCTCCCGCTCGCGGCTCCCGACAGGGGCCCGTCACATCGCAGTACGGAGCCCAGGGCAGCCGGCTCCACACGGCAGTTACCGCATGGCCGGCTGGTGCACAGGACGCTCACACCCAGGCTTGCCGCGCGCTGACGGATCGTGTGGACAGGCCGGTGAAGTGGATCCAGCGTTGGTGCAAGGTGTTGCCCAGAAAGTCCCGGCAAGTGAGGCACGGAGCAGGGGCAGCCCGAGCCGCCCCGGAGGGACCAGTTCTCTGGGCAAAGGGAGACTCCCAGCTCCGGAGTCTCTGAGTCTGCCAGCTCTCAAGGAGGTGCCCTGGGACTGGGACGGAAACCTGCCGCCTCCTTTCACAGTGGCCCCCAGACAGCGGTCACATGGGGACAACTTTCCAATGGCGAGCGGCCTGATGGGGGGGGGGGGGTCGATACCACGCTCCAGCCTCAGTCTATAAAGAAAGGCTCAATTCACTGTCCCCGCCCGGGGCATTATTGGTCTTGAGGGACCTTCCGCTGATGCCTAAGCGCTGCATGAACGCAGTCCAGCTCCTCCCTCCAGAAATAAAACCACCCTATTGGGTTTAGCTGGGAGATCTTAACTCTCCGAAGGCAGCCGGACACCCCTCCAGGGCTGGGGTTCAAAGGGGGTTCAGGGGGAGGCTTTGGGGGCCCTGAATTCGACAGCAGCACCGGGGGAACGTGGAATTTTCACACCAGTGGAAAACGAGAGACGAAGAACATCTGAGAGGTGGGTGGCTGACGACTCTCTGCAGAGACACGCATGCGCGCGAGAATGAATTGGAAACATCCCAGGAAAGACACAGAGGGACGAGACGGGATCCCCACCCCAGATCGGAAAAGGGACAGCTCTTCCCCACGGACAAAAATAGTTCCTAGTGTTTGCACGATCCAGGCCCAGCTGTGCTAGGAAGGGACCAACCCTGCCCCAAAGAAGTGAACTGAAGCGGCCAGGGTTATTACCGCACCGGGCAGATGATACTAGGGGCCTGTCCAAGGACGCACAGGGAGTCTGTTGCAGAGCAGGGAATTGACCTCAGTCTCTAAAAGTCACAGTCCAACTCCCTAACCACTAGGCCAGCCTTCCTCCCTGAAAACTGAATTCCAGCCCTGAGCAAACATCCCCTGTCCCCAGGAGTTAAGACGCCCATCCTGGGGTGGGACAAGACATCACAGCTACAACCCAGCCAGCAATGCCTTGGGGCTGGCCCCATTCCAACCCACGCTGGCTAGCGATTGTCAGCCCACAGGGTAAGAACCCAGGGGACCGTGGCAATTTTTACAAGCAAGAGAGGAATCCAAGTGGTCAGCTCACGCCAGGGGAGACTCCCTGCAGCCAGCGTGGGAGCCAGCAGCTCTGCTCCCTGGGCCCTGCTACAGCTGGAGAGCAGGGAGGACAACCTCCCCTCCCCACTCCACAAAGAGCTCTTCCTCTCAACCCAGAGCTCTTGCTTTTATCGCCCATCCCTCCAAGCCCTGCCACTTCCCTCCTCCCCCTTCTCCTCCCCACCAGCTCAGCCTCCCACACCTTGAGTCCTGCGCCTGGGGGGCTTGATTCTGCATTAACTTGCACAGCCACCGACACCAGTGCAAAGCGAGCGTGAAACAGCCCCCGGCGCTTTGCACTGGTGGTAAATGGCTGCACGGCACAATGGAGAACTGGACCCTTGCTGTTCATTTCCTCCCCTTCCTCTGCACCCTGACAGCTCCCTCCAGCTGGTTTGCCAGTTGTCCAGGCAGGGCCCGGCGTCTCAGTCTCCTCAGGCTGGGATCCGAGCCCTGCACTTGGGTGACTACAGGGTTTGTCATGCCAGGGCAGGGGAATAAATAGAAATCTCAGCTTCCGGGCACTGTATAACACACAGCTGTTAAAAATACCGGGTGCAAGGGGAGGAAATCATTGACTCAGCTTCCCCAGGACGCTACAGGCTTCTGGGCTGGGCCCGCAGTCCAGGGCCTTGTCCACACGAGAGGCTCTGGCACAGATCCCATCGGAGCCAGCCCTGCTTCACACCAGGGTGGTCCATCTCCACAGGGGCTTGGCACCAGGGTACAAATCCTTGACGTAACAGCAGCTCTGCCTGGCTAGGAGCAGCCCTTCCCCCCATACACCCATGCTCTGTGGGCTGGGGCCACTGGCTAAAAACTCTCTTTGAAATAAGGTTCCGCTAAGCCTCATGCCCAGCAACCTGGTGACACAGACTTGTGCCCAGTACCCCACCCCGTGGGATCGATACTTCAACATAGGGCCTTGGACTCCAACTGGGGCAGTTCCTGGGATTTCAAGCTGCCCCTACGGCTCGCACCTCTTGCTAGAACCAGCAATTCCTGCCCATACACCGAGGCCCTGGGATCACAGTGCTGCAGGACAGTGTCCAGGCAATGGGGGAGATTCACAGCTCATCCGCAGAGTCTCTGACACAGAACCGGGGCGGGAACGAAGAGCTTGCGTTTGCCCGGCATGAACCTGCGTCGTGCATTTGTCTGGTGATTGGCCAGCGCTCTGCCAGGTGGAGCTGATCACCGAACAGATCAGAAAGAAATATCCCGTGCACACTCCATCTTCGGGTGCTGAAGTGACTCCAAAAACTCCCACCGCCTGTGCCAGGGGCTGATACACGACGTGTCGTGGGCTCCCACATTCTGTCTCAGCTCTAAAGCACTCTTCTCCCTACAGAGAGGAGTGCAGCATTTCTCCAGGCCTCCGCTACGCAGCTAGAGGGGAGCCGGGAACTGGCCGCGAGCATAGGGCGACCACCTTTTCACAAGGCAAAAGCGGGACGCATGCCCCGCCCCTCATTGGCCCCACCCCCTACTCCACCTCTTACCCCTGAGGTCCCCTCCTCCCCCCCAAAACCAGAGTCGGGCCTGAGAGCAGCCCCAGCCCCAGCCCATGTCCCTGCCCCCCATGGCACGCCACCCAGGGCAGGTGGAGGGTCTGGGGCTCCCCACAGCAGCCTGGACTCCCTGGGCAGCTCTGGCTTCCAGGCTGGCTGGAGGTGAGGCCTCGGGGGAAGAGGAGGAGCAGGGGCGGGGCCTCATGGCAATGGGGGGGAGCTAAGGTGGTCACCCTACCTGAACACCAAGTGAATCTAACAGGGGGGACCGTGGGAGTTTGGCCCCACTTCTCCCACAATTCCTCAGGGTTCCAGGAAGCATCCTACAATCTGCACCCAAAACTGCCGAAGGGAGTAAGCCCAGAGGCAGTGCAAGGTACCCTGGGATACCTACCCACGATCAGGGGCGGCTCCAGGCACCAGCGCACTAAGCGCGTAGCTAGGGCGGCAAGCCGTGGGGGGCGGCCTGCCGGTCGCCATGAGGGCGGCAGTCAGGCAGGCTTCGGTGGTGTGCCTGCGGGAGGTCCGCTGGTCGCGCGGCTTTGGCAGCAATTCGGCGGCGGGTACGCCGAAGGCACGGGACCGGCAGACCTCCCGCAGGCGCGCCGCCGAAAGCCGCCTGACTGCCGTGTTTGGGGCGGCAAAATACATAGAGCCGCCCCTGCCCACGATGCAGCACGGTGCTGGGCAGAGCCGTGGCCCCAAATACAACGAGGCTCACACCAAGCCGAGCGCCACCGCGCGAGTGCCCCCAGTGGGCGGGATTACATCAGCCAGAGCTGGGCGGTGTGTACACAAGGCCCGGAAAGCTGGATCCTTTTCTCTGTCTCTCTGTCTCTCTCTGGGCGTGGGGCTCGATCTCTGTTTATGTCTCTCCCTGATGTTACTGACTCTGTTTATGTCTCTCTTGCAATCTGCCCCTCCTTTCTGCTCCTCCCAACGGACAACGGTTTAACATTTCCCTTCAGCAAACAAGGCCCTCGCAAGCCAAACG